TAGTTTGCATAACAATGGTCTTTGTTAAAGTGTTCTTTAGCTGGTATAAAGACGTATGCACGTGACTAATTTCTTACTCAAGATTGGATAATTGCTTCATGAATTATTAATGAGTTTTTGAAGTTTAGTTAGTGAACTTAATTTAATTTTAATTAAGTGTGACAAATGAGGAGATACCTTGGTGACAAATGTAGCAACAGCGAGTGCAGAAATGAGTTTCTTTATTCTTTATCTTTCAGGTTGAAATCTTTAATTATTAAAGCAAGCAGAATTATCAAGCAATCAATTATACCGACAGCGTGGACTCAGGTAACAAGATGGAGGCGAAACTGTAACAAGTTCGCCTTGAGGTACATTAAAAATCGAAGTAGTTTGCAAGGAAGTAAATAACTGATAAGACATCAAATTCAATACTTTTATTTTATAAAATAAAGATATTGAATTCCAAAATATGACCCACTTGACCAATGGTTGAGTGAAGACATGAATAAACTTATTAAGAACATTATCATCGATGGAAAATAGCAATTCGAAATAGAAATGATCCATGTGTGATTTTGGTTCAGTTTATAGCTGGTTCGTCAAGCGTCTTGATCTATTGTGGGTAGTGTTCTGCCAAGGAATTCTGCATTAACTATCCTTGGTTTGTCTCGATTACCTGGTTACTGTTTCATTTTAGCAAGCAGTTTATTTTTAGTGTTTTGATTATTTTTTGATTGGTATGTCGGAAAGCTTCAGGATTTCGGAAATTAAATATTTGTTCGCCTTAAATATCATGTAATTAGCATCAAATTAAAAGCATTATCTTTTTGTACAACTGCCAGAAAGGATGTATTTCGCCATTAATATTGCCGTACGCTCAAACCCTGTGTTCAAGACATGGCATATTGTTAAAGTATCTTGATAATGTGCAGTTTTTAGTCGCAACAACGAGTTTTTAACATGTTGATTGTTGATGAGAAGATATTCGATTAGGGGCCATCCCTTAACTAGCCTGCTCACAGGCTCTATTACATAGAGCCTGCGACTTTTATTGATATTTTTTCAATACGCCCCCTTTGAGATAATTGAATATCCGGTAAATAGTAGCCAATCAAAGCAAGTTTTGTTAATTAGATTACCAGAGGTTATTAACAACAACAAACAGTTTCTCGCGCAATTTTACGCCTGTATCTTTCACTAGGATTCCAAGGTCTAAACTTTAATCTAAAATAATTCATGGTCGTTTTTTCCCTAAAGTGTTCTAATATTTAAAACATAGTCCCGTTTGTATATTGCTGTCTTGTTCGTACATTGCCGTTTTAAATTATGTAACTATACTACAGAGACGTAAAATTTTACTCTCTATTAGTTAATGTATTTTATATATTTATATCCAAAATATAACTGTAAGATTTAAGGAAACGTTTTAGGTTTTGAACAAAGTAACAAACACTATTTATTAAAAGTGTCGAACAATAGCAGGCTAAAAACAACATTAATCATTATTGCGTGAAGTCTGTCATTTGCTCAATAATAACTGACTCAATAGACAATAGACAATTTGAAAACCCGTGGCCGTGGCATCGATTCTGCCGTGTTTAATAACTACATTTTTTTTGTAAAAAGCTCTTGTTGTAATAATATATGTCACTAGTTGAGACTCCCAAAAATAAAGTCTCAAAGAGAGAGCGGACTTCGGTCAAAAAACACGCAAACGACTATTGCAAAATTTCCAGGTGTAAATTCAAATTGGCCAGGTGTTCTAAGAACGACTTTCCTCGACGGCGTCTGTTAATAATTTGCCCATTGTCTTGACTTATTCGAGACCAGATTGTTTAGGCAGAAAGCCTTGGGTTGACAGGGAAGTATTTGGGAGAAATGTTCGGAGGCATTTGACAATCAACTGCTTTATACTAGCTGATTCACTGCCTGTGTCTCAACGAACGTCTCGCTGGGCTAACCTTAAGTTGTTCAACGTTTGAAACCGCAAGTGATGCAAACGCGGTTAGATAAATTGTCAGCCTGAACTAGACTTATTTTACTCTCTCTGCAAAGATCAGCAAGGCATACGTCGAAGTTTTCCCTTGTACTTCTTTGGAAAAGGTTTATTATTATAGCTGACGAAGACAAAGTATCGGTATATTACATGTAAACTTTTATCAAATCCCGTTGGAAGTACAGTTAATATTGCTAACCTTCGCTCATCCTTCAACGTTAATTTAAATTGAAAGGTTTCTCAAATACATTCAAGACAGTTACTTCTTCGAAGAGATAAACAAAGTCATGGTTTTATACGCCACTGATTGAATGCCAGCTTTAAAATTACATTGCGAAATGTCGTACGAGTTAAATATTTGCACGATATTAACTCATGGGGCACTTCTGACCAATGGGAATTTTGCGTACGCTCCGTACGCATAAATCGACTTTTTACTAATAAAGGTCGCAGGCCGTACCTCCCATGCAGCCTCTGCCTGACAACGGCCTGCGAGCAGGCTATCCCTTAACTGAAGA